TTCATAAAACCTAAACTATTTATCATCTGGCCCTTTGCACAAAAATGAAAAAAAAAAGTAATCCTTATTTGTGGGTAAATTCTGCAAAATAAGATACCTTTATTAAAAGGCTTTTTAAAAAATTTTTGTGTGTGTATGTAAGTATGTATGTATGTGTACCATGTGTGTACAGGTGCCCAGTGAGGCCAAATGAGGATGTTAGACTCCCTGGAGCTGGAGCTAAGGAAGTTGTGAGCGGGTGTGGGTGCTGGAAACTGTACCCAGGTCCTCAGGAAGAGCAGTGGGTGTTCTTAGTCACTGAGCTATTTCTCCAGCCCCCAGAGACAGAATCACATTGTACCGCTAACCCCATCTCCCCCACTCTCTGCCTTCCTTTCCTCTACAGGTAAAGCATCCTTACTTGTTTTGACTTGAAGCTTAACTTTCCATTGTTTGGGTACTAAACAGAACCTTAAGTATCGAAAGGTCTGAAACTTGCTGCGTACCTAAGGATGACTTTGAACTTCAGACCTTCTTGTCTGCCCCCCCCCCCAAGTGCTGAAATTACAAATGTTCTCCACCTCTCCTGGCTGTTCCTAATGATTTCAACACCAGCACACGTATCTGCCTGTCACCCTCTGCTCACTTTCTGCCTTAGCAACATGGGGCCCTGGAGATGGCTTCAGCAAGACGCTCCCTGGTGTTGTGATGGGCACGGCGGTACCCATGTTCTCTTTGTGCTTCTTGTGGTGGATGCTGGACTGTTTCTGGTTCTTGACTGTCATCGACTTAGTGCACTTTGCTGGTGCAGCTCTGTGACCAGTTCTTAGATGGGGCGGGGTGGGGCGGGGGCGTACCGGGTGGGCAGTTGAACACCAGCCCATCTGTAGTGTTGCTCGGCTCCCCCTGAGTTTGTACATTTCTGCCAGCAGCTTATAGCTGTCCACACCCTGACACCACCCAACAGAGGTACTGTCAAACTCTGGGAGTTTGCTCATTTAATAGGCAAGGATGACATTTAAGTTTGCTTAAATTGCTCTTGTTATGAGCAAGGTCGAAGCCATTTCCCTGTTGATGAGCCGCATCCTCTCACCAGCTTCTGTGGAACGCAGGCTTTCTCGTCTAGTCGCAGAAGCTTCTGGTGCTGCAGATGGTGACCTTAGCGTCTAATACAAGTTACAAACGCCTCTCCCGCTTGGCTCTCCTTTATGCATCTATTATTTATCTGCTCTTTTGCTGCCTGCAAGTGAGTCGTGTTAGTTACTTTTTCACTTGGTCAGTGTTACTGGCTTCTCTGCCACTGCCCGGCTCCAGAGGCATAGCCGGGAAGTTCCCCGAGACCTGGCCCATAGAGGAATCGAACCATGTTGCCTTCTTGGATTTATATGGTTTCCTTTATCTTCTCAATGTAAAATTTTAGTTGCTTTTTTAATGTCTACAGACACTTTGATGGTCATGTGACTGCCTGCTTTTACCCACGTTACTTTGAGTCTTAGAGACAAGCCCTGCACACATGCTCTGAGCTGCCATGTACAAATTGTCACATGCTCACACTTGAAGAAGCCCATATGCTTGTTATCAGGGAAATGGAACAGTCTGGGAGCGGAGACCTGGGCCAGGGCCAGAACCTCACTGTAGCAGCTCTCACTGAGAGAGCCAGGGGCCCAAAAGAGGCAGAGCTGAGCCTTCGTCAGCACCAACAATACAGTGGGGGCCAGGCTGATTGGCCACAGGTGGTCTTCATTATCCAGATTCGGCACGGGCTGTCCTCTACTTTCCCCAAGGCCAGGCTTTTCACAGCGGGCCTGCGGCTGCCAGTGGAGGTTCTGATCCTTGGCTCTAGTCCTGGGTTAGGGTGTGCCAGCTGCCAGGGTAATAACCAAGGTTGCCGTAAAACTCACCAGCCAGTTGCACAAATGGCGTGTCTGCTCTACAGGGCACGTCACAGTGGGAAGGAAAGTCTGTCATGTTGGGTGACGAGCACTCAAAAGGCCAGCCTCCTGCCCACAGCTGTGCTTCTTTGGCAGGCTACGTCCATAACGAGGCGTGTTTCCCATCCATTTGATTTTATGATGCCCTAATGAACTGGACTATTTCTAGCCATTCTGAGAAGATGCAGGCCTTTTGTTCTGATAAAGTTTACTTGGAAGGTATGGGTGTGGGAAGCTGGGTCATGGGTGGCTGATAGCCTCTGGGTATGTCTTTCTGAGAAAGGTGCTTCTGGGATGCTGTCCTGACTCAGCAAACACAGGGAAAGCCCAGCTCCCAGGTGCCTCCATCGTTTCCTGCCCTAGCCCTTGCATAGCTCAAGGAGGCTGCAGAGTACATGATGTTAAGGCTGCATGGATCCCAAGGCACACATGGCACCTGTTAACTGCTGCTCTCTAGGAACTGGAGGGCTCTGACTTGTACTCGCCAGGGAGAAGCGTACAGGCCACTTCCAGAGATGGGTGTTGGGCTAGACCTACTTCTTACTGTGCATTTAATCTTCTTCCTAGTTGTCTCTTGAGTGCTTGCCAACTGGGCCTGTGGTCGATGGAGAGAGAGAGAGAGAGAGAGAGAGAGAGAGAGAGAGAGAGAGAAGAGAGAGAGAGAGAGAGAGAGAGAGAGAGAGAGAGAGAGAGAGAGAGAGGAGAGAGAGAGAGAGAGAGAGAGAGAGAGAGAGAGAGAGAGAGAGAGAGAGAGAGAGAGAGAGAGAGAGAGAGAGAGAGAGAGAGAGAGAGAGAGAGAGAGAGAGAGAGAGAGAGAGAGAGAGAGAGAGAGAGAGAGAGAGAGAGAGAGAGAGAGAGAGGGGGGAGGGGGAGAGAGAGAGAGAGAGAGAGAGAGAGAGAGAGAGGAGGAGAGAGAGAGAGAGAGAGAGAGAGAGAGAGAGAGAGAGAGAGAGAGAGAGAGAGAGAGAGAGAGAGAGAGAGAGAGAGAGAGAGAGAGAGAGAGAGAGAGAGAGAGAGAGAGAGAGAGAGAGAGAGAGAGAGAGAGAGAGAGAGAGAGAGAGAGAGAGAGAGAGAGAGAGAGAGAGAGAGAGAGAGAGAGAGAGAGAGAGAGAGAGAGAGAGAGAGAGAGAGAGAGAGAGAGAGAGAGAGAGAGAGAGAGAGAGAGAGAGAGAGAGAGAGAGAGAGAGAGAGAGAGAGAGAGAGAGAGAGAGAGAGAGAGAGAGAGAGAGAGAGAGAGAGAGAGAGAGAGAGAGAGAGAGAGAGAGAGAGAGAGAGAGAGAGAGAGAGAGAGAGAGAGAGAGAGAGAGAGAGAGAGAGAGAGAGAGAGAGAGAGAGAGAGAGAGAGAGAGAGAGAGAGAGAGAGAGAGAGAGAGAGGAGAGAGGAGGTGTATCTTAACATGGCCACAAGATGCCAAGTGACACCAAAAGGGCTTTCAGGGTGGTGGATTGAACTGCTTAGGGCAGTGGTTTTCAACCTCCTTGGGGGTCAAATGACCCTTTTACAGAGGTCACCTAAGGCTATTGGAAAACACAGATATTTACATTACAACTCATAACATAGCAACATTACAGTTGTGAAATAGCAAACAATAATAATTGTATGATTGGAGATCAGCACAGCATGAGGAGCTGTATTAGAGGGTCCCAGTGTTGGGAGGGTTGAGAACCACTCGATGGCTTAGGGGGATGACCAAAGCCAGTAAAGACACTGCAGAGTCAAGGTGAGCCCTGCCGGCTCCAGACCCCTCTGCCCACCAGCAACTGCACTCAAACACTGGATGCTGTGGAAACTTGTGGGAGCAGGTGTTGGGGACTGATATATCCTGTCCTCTCTTGGGTCTTACCTAGGATACATCTCAGCATGAGTGTGGACCCCGGCTCCCTGGTGCCCTTGCCTGCTACCCTATGAGCTGTGCTTTTGAGCTCTGGTGCTGGGGAGTGACCTGCAAGAAAACAAGCAGCTCCTGGTGCCTGAGGAGCTGCTACAAGCATCCATCTGCCTTCCTGGTTCTGCAGGGCTGGGGGGGCACCCGCATGTCACCTTAGTAGAAGGCTGCTTGTAAAGAGGCCAAGTCATCTGTTACCCATATTTTCCCATTTGGTCCCTAGGAACTTCCAGAGGCAGAAACTGGCCATCAGGTAACCCAGTTGTGTGCCCCAGGGAAGCAGCGGGGCTGGGAGAGGTTTGGCCTCACCTGGCTATGTGACTGCAGCTCATTTGGTAGCCAGTGGAGCAGATCACCTGAGAAGTGTGTGTCTGCTGTAGCCACATGGTGGCGCCCAGGGAGCTGATAACCCTGTGGCCAGCCCCAGGGGGCGCTGTCATCCTGTTGTTCTTCTGTCCAGACCGCAGTGGGTCGGGTAGTCCTCCCGTATTGCAGCTGGCATCATGCTGTGTGATCATTCCTGTAGTTGCATCAAGTCCTTGTTCTGGGCCCCAGAACATAGAGAATGCCTTTAAAAGTGAAATACATTCTGCCTGGCTGTGGTGGCACACACCTTTAATCCCAGCACTTGGGAGGCAGAGGCAAGTGGATCTCATCTCTGAGTTTGAGGCCAGTCTGGTCTACAGAGCTAGTTCCAGGAAACAAACAAACAACAACAAAAGCAAAATGCATGCTGAGAAGAATGTGTGCTCCCTGTGCTATCCTTACTTATTCAGGGACAGTAAGTAGTCCTGACTTGTCTCTCAGAAGTATGACACCATTATCACTGGATGTCACTCTACCCCTTAGGGACCTAGAGCAAGGTGGGAACCCCATTCCTAGTGTGCTTCCATTGTATGCAGCCGCTGTCAAGGGACCCTGTCATCCCAGGAGACAAGTGCATCTCATTGGACACACCCATGTGTTGACAGGTGGGATGGGCATAACCAGAGGTCAGCTTGCCTTTGGGAGGTCAGTCACTCCCAAGATCAGTACTCATTGGCCTGGTGAGGTTGGAAAGTCCTATGAAACTACATGTGTGCCTGGCCTAGTATGTTTTTATTAACTCTGCCCATGCCCAGGACTTGGTAACTCTCCTTGGCTCTCCTTGGCACCTACACCATGCTCCCGGACCCACCACGGTGACTAGTGCCCATTCTTGCAGGTGGTGAAAGGCTACAAGGCAACCATCCAACAGACCCTGGACATCCTCTTCCTCCAAGAAGGGTCCGAGTTCCTGAGCAGCACTGACGCATCCACTCGGGACTCTGCTGACCGAACCATTATTGCCTGGGATTTCCGGACTGCTGCAAAAATCTCCAACCAAATTTACCATGTGAGAAGCTTTGTGTGGCATTGTTCGTGGTATCAGCCATGGGGGATATTCTTGTAGCCCTAGGTTTGAGTCCTGGACCCCTCTCTGTCTGGGGGAGGAGATCAGCTATTTGAAATATCTAGGATAGGGGTAGGCGTAGGTCAGGCCCAGGTCTGGTGCACACAGCCTCTGTAGACTGCCCTTTCTGGTTCAGCTACCCATGGTGGTAATAATATTTTAAATAATACTCATTTCATAGAGTACTAAGAACTACAGAGAGAAAATGCTTACACAGATCTAACAGAGCGTCAGGTGTCAGACACAGAGACCACTCATCACTACCAACATCACCATTGCAACCACACCTCTCACCATCACTGTGATCACCATCATTATCACTCCTTTCACGACTGCCATCATTCCCATCTCTGTACTCATTACCTCCACAGCCATCACTGCCACCACAATTGTTACCATCAGTGATTACCACCACCACCAACTCAGCCACACGGCGATCACAGCCACCATCGTCACCAACACTATAACCACTACCACCACCACCACCATCTACATTGTAGTCATTACCATGACCACCATCTCCACCACCACACTTTAGTCACTATCACCATCATCTCAACCCCTACCACCAACACTAGTCACTACCATCACCACCACCGTCTCTACCACCATCACCACCAATGTAGTCACTACTAACAGCATCTCCCCCACTATCACCAACACTGTAGTCATTACCACCACCACCACCATCTCCCCCACTATCACCAACACTGTAGTCACCGCCACCACCACCATCTCCCCCACTATCACCAACACTGTAGTCACCGCCACCACCACCACCGCCACCACCACCACCACCACCTCCCCCACTATCACCAACACTGTAGTCACCTCCACCACCACCACCATCTCCTCCACCATCACCAACACTGTAGTCACCTCCACCACCACCACCATCTCCTCCACTATCACCAACACTGTAGTCACCACCACCACCACCACCACCACCACCACCACCACCATCTCCCCCACTATCACCAACACTGTAGTCACCGCCACCTCCATCTCCACCACTGTTGTGGCAATGGTCACCACTGTCACGTCTGTGCTCCCCGTCATCAGAGAGCCTGGCAGAGATGAGGTGAGCGGGGTGAGTGTGCTTCTGGTCCCCTACCTCTCCTCTTTCTTCACACGCTCAGGGACAGGTGAGTACTTTGCTGATATACCTCACCAGCACATCACCTGCTATCCCAGTACGCTGTTCCCAGAGAGCTGTCTGCTCTGTCGGGATGCTTTCAAGAAGGTGGCTTAAGGGCTGTCTTAGAGCTGGGTGTGGTAGCACACACCTTTACTCTCAGCACTGAGGAGGCAGAGAGGCTGATCTTTTTGAGTTGGAATGTATGTATGTATGTATGTATGTATGTATGTATGTATGTATATGAATGAGAGGGACCCTCTTCAGCACCCTGCAGAAGGGACACAGTGTGTTTGTGTTGACACTGGTTAGGCCACTGAGCTCCACTTCAGACTGCAGAGCCGCAGGACAGGACATTGTTTTTTTTTTTTTTTTTTTTTTTTTTTTAACGAGACAGGGTTTCTCTATATTGTTTGGAGGCTGTTGGTCCAGCCCGACCTCGAACTCACAGAGATCCGCCTGCCTCTGCCTCCCGAGTGCTGGGATTAAAGGCGTGGACCACCACCGCCCGGCCAGGACATTGTTTTAAACTCTGAGTGTGTGGTAACTTATTACAGTAACAACAGCCCATGCAGACTCCCAGGCCAAGGCTCAGGAGAAGCGGACATAACCCCAAGAGCAGAGTGCGGGCTGGGTAGGGGTCTGTGGGAGGCAGAACCCCCACCGTGGTAGCCTCCATCCCTCCATGGTCCTGCTTTCACAGGAGAGGTACACCTGCCCCAGCCTTGCCTTGCATCCGAGGGAGCCTGTGTTCCTGGCGCAAACCAATGGCAACTACCTGGCTCTCTTCTCCTCTGTGTGGCCCTACCGGATGAGCAGACGGCGCCGTTATGAAGGGCACAAGGTACCCCATCTTTGTTACCTAGGTCAAACGCTGACCACTGGCCGCAAAGCTTCCAGCCAGGCATCACCAGGACTCCGGGGCATGTGGCCCCTGTGGGCATCCTGCTGCTTAGGTGGATGACTACTGGCCATGTGGATGAGGGTCCACTCAGGGCTAGAACACATGCTCAGCCACATGCAAGGGAGCATGTCCATTCATGTGTCCTGGCGTGATGACAGCCACATGCATGCCCATTCACGTGTCATGGCGTGACGACAGGGTGAGCTAGTCTCGGGAGCCGTTTCTCTGTGTACCCGTTTCCTGCCTGAGGCCCACTTGGCTGGGGTGGAAGAGGCTGGGGACCCAATGACTATGCTGCCAAACCCCAGCTCTGCAGAAGGTGCAGCATCTGGGTTCCATTACAAGGACGTTGTGGTTAGATGCTGTCATCTGTTCAGTTTACGCCCAAGTGCCGTGCAATTGAGCCACAGTAAAATAAAACAAACCACCATACAATAAAACAAACGACATACTGCTTTAATGTGTGGGCATTCATGTTCTAGAGACCTGCAGCCCACGGGCCACGGGTGTGACATGACTGTTGAGGCTAGTGGCCTTGAGACACCAGGTCCCCCACCGTCCTGTAGTCTCATAGCAGGAGCTCAGCCTTTGGCCTGAGGGTCACTGGGTGTAAAACCAACCCTGTGCTTGGTTGCTTCTAGGCCTCAGTTTACCCATTGTAGTGTGGAGTCATGTCACCCTACAGGTTGCCTGCTCTGTCTTTCTTCACAGGTGGAAGGCTATGCTGTGGGCTGTGAGTGTTCCCCGTGTGGTGACCTGCTGGTGACAGGCAGCGCTGATGGCCGGGTTCTGATGTTCAGCTTCCGCACTGCCAGACGGGCGTGCACACTACAAGGGCATGCTCAGGCCTGCCTTGGCACCACCTACCACCCTGTGCTGCCTTCTGTCCTTGGCACCTGCTCCTGGGGAGGAGACATCAAGATCTGGCACTAATGGCAACTGAGACCCTGCCCCTGGGTGGGTGACACTGAAGTTGGCTGGAGGCTGTCCCCTCTGCCTGCCGGGCCTCAGTGACTCCTCTGTGAAATGGACATGAGAAGCTGTCTCAGGGTGTAAGGACCGTGTTAGTAAAGGCATTGCCAAATGGCTGGCGATACCCAATCAATAAGTGTGTGTTCTGTGGTTTCTCTTAATGTGATGTTGGAAATGAACACAGACCAGCAGTTCCTGTTGCCTTCATACTGCAGGTATGGGATGCTAAGGTGGGACTGTCACCTGCTGGTCCTGAGAGTGTTATCCTTGGGACAACGGGACTCTGGGTCTGTGATCTGCCCAGGAACTCTGTGCAGGACCTCCACAGGGCCCTGCCACTCAGCTGCTCCCTACTAGACACCAAAGCTCCACTCTGCTCCATCCTAGTCGCCTCTCTGGTCCTCTACCCTGCTGCTTGCCCACTGCCAGGTGGGTGGTCTGTGCTGGCCACAGCTATGTGACTATCCTGGAAGGGGTGACGAGGAGCCGGGTCCCAGAAGCACCTTCAGAGACTGACTGGGATCTGGTAGGGAGTGTGGTGGTTTGAATAAGAAATATGGCTCACCAGGGAGGGGAACTGTTTGAAAGGATTAGGAGGTGTGGCCTTGCTGGAGGAAGTGTGTAGTTGGAAATGGACTTTGAGGTTTCAAAAGCCCATGCTAGGCACAGTCTGTCTCTGTCTCTGTCTCTGTCTCTGTCTCCTCTCTCCTATCTTCTCTCTCCCCTCCCCCCCACTTCCTCTTTCTTCTCCTGCCCTCTGCCTTCAGATCAGGATGGAGAACTCTCAGCTACTGCTCCAGAACCATGTCTGCCTGCCTGCTACTATGCTTTCTGCCATGATGATAATGGACTAAACTTCTGAAACTGTTTGCAAGCCCCAATTAAATGCTTTCTTTTACAAGAATTGCCATGGTCATGGTGTCTCTTCACAGCAATAGAACAGTGACTGAGAAAGGAGGCCTAGCTCTTTAGGAAACTAGGCAGGCCCATGAGTCTCAAACACTACCAGAATTGTCACTTAGAAACTGCCTGATGGCCCAGGGACTCACTTATAGGTTGGGGTGAGGGGACTTGGCAGAGTGACTTCACAACTTACCCCTTTCTACAGTCTAGTCCCAGGCAAGACCTGCTGCCTTCCCTCTGTGCCCCAATGCCTCACCAGTGAAGCCACAGGTCAGGAGAGCAGCCTGGGATGTGATGGGGGCTGGAACAGTGTTGTTGGTCATAGGAAGCCCAAGTCTGAGGCCAAAGGTGGCTGAGGGATGCTGTGTAAGGACATTGATTTTAGTGTTCAAGGAACCCACCAGAGTAAAGCAGATCAGGGCTTGGGCTGAGGCTTGTGCTAAAGCCCCTCTGTTCTTGCTGCCACAATAGGTCAGCTCAGGTGCCCTCTCCCCAAGCTCATGGCTGCCTCCTCAGTGCTTGGGTGCCTCAGGGCCATTTGTACCACGTCCTGGCCCTAGGCTACTGTCCTTCTCTCACAAGGATACCCCTCTCCCTCATTCAGGGAACCGCAGGGAGGCAACACAGCCTCCTTCTCCCTCAAGCACTGGGTTCCACCCCCTGCTGTCCTGTGTGACTGACACTCAGGTATAGAGGAAGCTCCCTGGGCAGAGCTTGGTGTCCTGCTGTGTCTCCGGCACATAAGCATGCTATAAATAATGGCCTTGTAGCCTGTCGGGACCCAGACTTTAGGGTCAGTCAGACCTGAATTTGAACTCTGCCTCTGTTTCCTTCATTGCTGTGTGGCCTTAGTCAAGCTGTGCCTCAGTCTCCCCTCCCAAAGAGCAGTGTGGAGCCTGAGTGCAGTGAGAACTCGGGATACTTGGATCTGCGGCATCTTGTCTAACTGGGCCTGTTTGGGTGGAGCCAGGGCCGGGTCCCATTCTGAGGCTCTGCTGTGGCAGCCCAGGGTCTAGTGGGACCCTGCTGCTGTCCCTCTTGCTTTGGGGGTCTTAGCATGGCCCAGAATTAATTCTGGTAGAGGAAGCTGGCAGAAGGCTGTTTCTTTCCTCCCCACTTGACAAACTCTTGGAAGCTTTAGACCAGCTGGTTACTGCCTCAAGCCCTACTAGACTAGGACTCCTTGCCCAGACAGATGGGGAGCTGTGATCAGTAGCTCCCATCCTGAGCCAGAGGGCTGATGTGCTCCACGAAGGACTCAGGGCCCCTGATGGTGTCTTCATGAGTGTCTCCCCAGGTTCAGGCCAGATAGAACAGGACGCAGTGGGCCCAGCCTCTCTCCAGCTGTTCCCAATGCTCTCCCCAGCCTCTCCCAGTGCCCCCTCCTCCTCCAGCCTCTCCCAAAGCTCCCTCTCCTCCTCTAGCCTCCTCCCAATGCTCCCCCCTCCTCCAGCCTCCTCCCAATGCTCCCCCCTCCTCCAGCATCTCCCAATGCTTCCCCTCCTCCAGCCTCTCCCAATGTTCCTCTTCCTTCTCCAGCTTCTCCCAATGCTCCCCCTCCTCCTCCAGCCTCCTCCCAATGTTCCCCCCTCCTCTAGCCTCCTCCCAATGCTCCCCCTCCTCCTCCAGCCTCCTCCCAATGCTCACCCCTCCTCCTCCAGCCTCTCCCAATGTTCTCCCCTCCTCCAGCCTCTCCCAATGCTCCCCCTCCTCCAGCCTCTCCCAATGCTCCCCCTCCTCCTTCAGCCTCTCCCAATGCTCCTCCTCCTCCTCCTTCAGCCTTTCCTGATATCCTCCTCCTCTTCCTGCCTCTCCCAATGCCCCCCTCCCCCAGCTACCATCCCAAGGTCTCTCCGTACTCCAGGGTGTCTTCTGATCACTGTCCCCACTGTGTCATCACTGATTGGCTCTGGCCATTAGGCTTTTCAGGGAAGGCTAGCAGATGGTTGTAGAGGGCTTTCCTGTCTGCCTCAGTGCCCAGCCCCCTCCTGCCCTGCCCCTGATCAGGCTCTGGGCCTGTCCCCTGATAGTGTGGGATTTGGCTTCTCTGAACCTCTGCTTTCTTTCTCGGGTACACAGTGGGCAAAGGTTAGAGGAAGGTGCTCTACAGACTGTCACCCTGTTGGTGTTACCAGGACAGGCAGACACCATCTGAATCTTCCATGCTCTAACTCAGGTCCGGGGGGACCATTCAGGGGTCCCCAGGAGTCTCATTGTGGTTGTTTCCTGGTGTCATCCCCAGTGTTTGGCTTGTCCTGTAGGAGCTGGTGCCCTGTGCTTCTGGGCAGGAGGGCAGGTGTGTCCCCTGCGCCCCTGCTTTCTTCAAATGTCTCCTTCCAAAGAACATTCAGGAAGATTGACTTTGATCCCGGCTGAGGTGTCGGGAGTTCACCATTTGCAATTTAAAAATAGGAAAGCTAAATTTGGAAGGCACAGAGCAGTATGAACCTGGAGTGTGGGTTCTCCCTCCACCCACTCTCCTGGGCCGAACTCACCCCATCCCGCTTCACATCTGCAGCCTGCAACGTCAGATCAGAGGTGCCCCGGGAGGAAAGCAGCCCTGGCCAGAGATGCCTCCACAGGCCGAATCTGCTGGCGGCTTGTTCACCGAGTCAGGTTGTGCGGGTGTAGCACTAGCATGCGAGGCCCCCATGGCGTGGCCAGGACCCTCAGTGTCCTACTGAGGAGGCTGCGTTCCAAGAGCACGGAGACATTCTGGGACCACCCATTCCTGCAGCCTGTACTCTTGGTTCATTTTACTGACTCCCCAGATAGGTCTCTATATTCCCCCAACCCAGCTGGACTCCATACAGAGTGTGCCAGCTCTAGAAGGCCCCAGGAAAGGACCAGTGTCCTCAGGCTACAGAAGGGGAATTTAGCCATACCTTTGGTGATAGCCAACCAGTGGGAGCATAGCCATGTACTGACTGCCCATTGGGGCACAAGGGGGGACAGGGACAGTCTGCAGGGGTTAGGGTTAGGGCTGGGCAGGCAACACTGGAGAGGTTATCTCAGAGAAAGGAGCCGGCTAGGGTAGCAGACAGGGACCTGAAATGCTGAGCCGGCTGGAAGGCCATATGAGCCCTAGATGAAAGCTTGGACACTAAGCCAGGGAGGACTGCAAGGAGAGGGAGGGGCCAGCGAGGGACACAAGGTTCCTGCTTCTGGTTAAGTGGTTAACACGGAGAAAAAAAGAACCGTGAAGCCGAACTCTTCACTGCTGTGCTTTATTAAGGAGTTAAAGGAGTTAAGGGAGTCGAGGGAGTTGAAGGAGTTGAGGGAGTTGAAGGAGTTAAAGGAGTTGAGGGACTTGAAGGAGTCAGGAGTTGAGTTGAAGGACTTGAAGGAGTTGAGTTGAAGGACTTGAAGGAGTTGAGGGACTTAAGGAGTTGAGAGACTTGAAGGAGTTGAAGGAGTCAGGAGTTGAGTTGAAGGAGTTGGGAGTTGAGTTGAAGGAGTCAGGAGTTGAGTTGAAGGAGTTAGGAGTTGAGTTGAAGGAGTCAGGAGTTGAGTTGAAGGAGTTAAAGGACTTGAAGGAGTTAAAGGAGTTGAAGGAGTCGGGAGTTGAGTTGAAGGAGTCAGGAGTTAAGTTGAAGGAGTCGGGAGTTGAAGGACTTGAAGGAGTTGAGTTGAAGGAGTTAAAGGACTTGAAGGACTTGAAGGAGTTAAAGGAGTTGAAGGAGTCGGGAGTAGTTGAGTTGAAGGAGTCGGGAGTGCGGACCACAGAACACACAGTACTAGTTGACAGCATGCATCACAGAAGACAACTTCACAAGGAGTGGGGTAGGGGTGGGGAGTGGGAGGAGCCTCATACCTGAGGTAGAGTCAGGTGGTACTGGGAGGGGGAGCGGAGGAGCGAGCACCGGCTGTTCTGGGGGTGTTTCTGGCCCCTCTTGGGCCCACAGGCCGGGCCATGGGAGAAGAGCTCAGGGTAGATCAGGGCAGAGTGCTGACTGCACTATGGGGTGGGTGCGTAAGACGTTTTCTGCGCCCTAAGTGGCTTTGGTCCCCCCTCTCAGTGGACAGAACATCTGGCTTTCCTTGCTGCTGGCTTGCTAGCTTCTCCCCACCTGTGGAGACTGGTCCCCCTAGGACCCCTGCCTCCCCTTCTCCAGGGCAGACCCCATACACCCTCACTGGAAGTGAAGGAGCTTCATGTGGGGAATGCGAAGGCTGCCATCCAAAAGCTGGAGGCAAGCTCGTGAAGCAACACCCTTTTCCCTACAAAAATACTTTCACTTATAAAACGGGGGATGCTCACTTCAGGGAAGGGCGCAGCGTGTAAATATTCTGGGGGGAGTTTGTAGCAGAGGCTGGGGTGAACAAGACGCTTAGCAGAGAGGGTTGCTCTTTCAGGTTTTACTGGGGTGTTGGTAAGGGGGTCAAAGGAACTAGAGTTCCTTGGCAGGGGTTGGGCACGTGGGGGCTGACTACTCCCTGTTTGGGGCAGGACAGGCGGGGGCCCCTGACTGCAGCCTGCTGGTAGCAGTCAGTTGAGCAGGGTTCCGTAGAGCTGGGCCTTAGTGAGGCTGTCTTTACGGCTCAGCCCGGACCCTCCAGTCCTGGGGAAGGCCTGCTGGGGGCTGAGACGGGTAGGAGGGTGCATTTCAGGAGAGGCCTCCATGGAGCTGGGCTCCAAGGAATCCCTGGAACCATGCTCGGGCTCGGGGCTGCTGCCAGCCCCGCACAGCTGCACGCCCAGCCTATCCCCATCCCCATCACTGGCTGCGTAGCCAGGGTCAACTGAACGGCTAGGGCTGAGGCTCAGATCGCCACCTGCTCGGAGGTAGCAGGGCTCAGCCAGATGGCCCTGGGAGAGGTCATCGCCCTCCGAGAAACTATCAGCTTTGTAGCTGGCGTAGAGGGGGCTGCCACGGCCCTCAGCGTTGCCTGGGCTGCCGCGGCCACCGCCACCGCGGCCAGAGCCGCGGTAGAAACGGTCTGCGAAGTTGCAGGGCGAGGCGCGACCTCCGGCGCCAGCCTGGTAGTTGTAGGCGCCGACATCCTCCACGCTCACGGGGCGCCACTGGCCTCGAATGTTCTCTCCAGCAAGCCGGTTACCGCTTGGCTTGGCCCTCAGGCTCCACAGGTTTGGAGGCATCAGAGCCGGCTGGGGACCTGGAGAGGTCGGGAAGCGGTAGGACTCGGCCTGGTACGGAGACACTGTCCGAGCATAGCCTGGGGCCACCTGGGCCTCCAGCGGGGAGGCCAGGGTGGCCGAGGCCTTGCCGAAGCGAGGGCTGCTCCCATAGGTGGCGGAGGGCGGCTTGCGGTTGAAGAACTCGTCGCGGCTATTCAGGTAGATGGCCTGCTGCGAGGCGGTCAGCGTGCTGGCCTGCGCGTGCTCCTTCTCCTCGGACGTGGCGCTGAAGCTCGAGTAGGAGCTGGAAGTGGGCAGCGAGGCCGCGTAGCCCGGGAAGGCATCGCGGCGGTAGGCCTCAGGGTAGGCTGCCGCCTCGGCTTCCTCCTCCTCATCCGCTGCGCTGTCGGTGGAATTCTGCCCCCGCAGGAAGCCCACATCGGTCACCGGCGTGTCCACGCTGGGTCGCCGGTCATGCTGACGCTCTTCGGGGCAGTACAGAGCCGTGTCGCTGCAGTAGATGTCTTCCTTGTACTGGGGTCGTGCGCCCGACTTCTCCACCCCATCGCGGAAGCCCAGGTCGCAGACCGAGGCATCCGACAGGTGCGAGGACAGACTGCCAGGGTCTGGCTTCTCTAGCACCTTGGCGATGACGCAGGTGGGCACGCTGTCAGCGTAGACAGGGTGGCAGCGTTGAGAAGGAAGGCTGCAGCCATGCTCCTCCATGTGCAGGTTCACACGCTCCTGGAAATCCGAGGGTAGCTGGAACGGGCGTGAGGAGAGGAGGGGAGAATGGAGACAGGTCATAGTCAGCAAAGCCGCTCAGCCCTAGCCTCGAGGTCAGGGCCACACACGCATCACTGACAGACAGAGAGACAGACAGACAACAGCCCCCCCCCCCCAGGCATCTCACCTCGCATTAGTGGGAGCAACTTAACTCCCAAGGACAAGTACCTGGGGGTTCCCCATCACCTCTACCCACCCCACCCTACTCCAACCGGCTCAGCAGAGGTTGGCTACGCTCCTGTTCTGCACCCTTTCTGGGTCCTGTCTAGTGAGCGGTGACTTGCTCTTGTCGGCCCTAAGTGTCTGAACAGACAGACTCGGAAAATAGATGATGCAACAAAGATTGAGGGGTCAGTGCCAAAGGTTTCCAAGGAGTGCCTGGTGGGGGGTGGGGGGTGTCCAGCTACTGTTTGATCTATTTTGTGAGTGTTTCAGGTTTGGTCAGGCCTGGGGGAAGGGGACATGAACAGGGGTCTGTGTAGGAGACTTCTTGCGCATGTGGGCTGGGAGGGACAGTCTGGCCAGGATGGTCTCAGACAGGCAGGGTGGGCTCTGTCTTGTCCAGTTTTGGTACCCCGAGGCCTAGGGCTGACTTAGGCTCTATTGCTAGATCTATCTGTATATGCCTTCAGTGTGTGCCCTGTCCTTGATGTCTGTGTCTTGTTTCTGGACCTGGCTCTAATTGTGCAGCCCCCAAAGGAAACAGGTATGTAGCCCAAGTAGGTCAGAGTGGCCGTTGGAAGTGCAGTGTGGGGACACCTTTCACCATCAGGAAGCCAGGACCCAGGTGCACGAGGGACGAGGGTTCAGGCTCACCGGGTAGCTTCTTCCTGGAGGGTGGGGAGAGGCTTCGGGGTGGGGTGGCCCAAAAGGAGCCGGGTGGTCCTGGGACGGGGCGGGCCTGGTTTTGGGGCGGGGCCACGTTACCTCGGACACCTTATGGACCCTGCCGTAGGTCTGGCTGCACTGCAGCAGCTGGGCCGCTAGATTGCAGTCCTTCCTATAGAGCTCCTGCAAGACAAGAGAAGTGTTTGGCACAGCCCCCCCCCCCCCAGTGCTCAGTGCCAGCAGGGCGATCGGAGGGGGGAGAGCAGGGCAGGCAGGACAGCTGGTTCTCGCCAGTCCCTGCCCGGGCTCTGCGCTCTCCCTGAAGTCAAGGGCCTGTTTTGACCTGGAGCTGCTGGTGTATGGAGGATGTCCTGTCAACATGGGGCTCTCCTTGCTTGAGTCGCCTGTGCTTGGGACCTCCCTGCCCTACTCTCTGCCACCTGGCCACTGAGTGCTTTGTCTCCAAATCCTAAGTGACACGCTCTCCTGGAACTAACAGAAACTTCCACTGGCACACTTAGTTCGGCACTTAGCACTTCTAACAGGCTACTCTGACTGTTGACTGCCCGATGTACTGTCTGCTCTCCCCATATGGACTCAAAATTCACAAGGGCAGCCATTTTTCTTTCCTTGGTTTGTGTTGGTCAGACCAGAATCTCAGAACCTCGTACAATCTCATGGCAGGGAGCACGGGCTAATTAGTGTGTCCGCAGTCAGCCCGTGGGGGACGGTGGGGAGCAGCTGAGCACCTCAGGGGGCTCCTTTGGACAGTCACACAGCCGTGGTGTGACACCGGGGCTGGCTGAAGCCAAAGGTCTTGTGTGGGTGGGGAAGATGGCCTCCTGCATCCCATCTTCAGCCCTCACATCAGGAAGTCTGCCCTTTCCCAGTTGTCCTGGCCACTTCGACAAGTCCTCGCTGCCCTGTCCCTCCCCTTGTCTGGAGCCAGGCTGGAATCCCTCTGAATCAGAAAGGCCCTGCCTGTCAAGGCTTCCCCTAGGAAGCCCCCCCTCCAAACAAAAACCACCTGCCACATCCCTCCAGGAGCCAAATGAATACGGCACTCACGTTGTCCTCCGACAGCTTGTCAATGGTCACCTTGGCTTCCAGCAGGTGGCTGTTGAGGGCGACAATCTCATGGCTCATCGCACGCTTCTCTTCCTCATAGTGTTGGCCCTAGGTTATAGGGGCAGGGGAGGAATGGTTAGTGCCAAAGCCCGGCTGTTGGGTCAAGGCTTCTGTGAGCCCAACAGCTGTTGATGACAAGGTGCTCAAAAGGCTAACTGGGTAAGAGTTAAGACCACAGACTAACTCAGGTTTAATCCCATCGCACTGATGATAAAACGGATTAGCCTAGGCCAGTCCTTCCCGGAGCCTCAGTTACCTGCACCTGCGGTGAAAAGTAGGGCTTGCCCTGCCCATCTATCTCAACGAGTTGAGAGAGGGCTACTCAGCATGGCCCAGCCCCTCCTACCCTGCCCCCTTTGTTCTCAGATTGAAGGCACGCAGGCACTGACCAACTGTCACCAAACCAGATCAAGCAGGAACCTCATCTAGTACAGGGGGGTGGCAGAACCCCACGGCCATCCTCTGTGCCGCCTGCACAGGCTTGGCTTCCTTGGACCCCGCCTCATTTTCATCCTGAGAGCACCTCCCACTCTGGGGAACAAGCCACAAGGGGCTACTCCGTGAACTGGGGCCTCACCATCCGGTACAGCTTATCCTCCAGCTCCTGGTTGACACGCTGCAGCGTCATGTAGTTGCTCTGAATCCTGCAGCAGGAGGCAGCAGAGTCAAGACTTGCAATGCCTGGCCTTCCCTACAACCCCAGCAGCCTCACAGCCATCACGCCCTGCCTAACATGGCTGTCAGGCACCCAAGCTTGTCCCACCAGCCCTACCTGATTCATTGTCTGCACTTAAGATCTGATCAGAGCTAACTCCTGTCACGGCTTCTCCGAGGCCATGGTCAAAGCCCCATTGTTCTGCCCACACACAGTAGGGCTCTTTAGAGAGGACACAGGGAGGCCTGTGTGCATAAGAGGCTGTGAGAGCTGTGCTCAGGTCTTAGAAACTGGCAGGTGCTTTACAGGTCAACTGCACACCAGAAGGAGACAGGTATATGTGGCCCTGGCATGAGTGCCAGCGACCGGGAGGACATGGATCCACCTGGAGAAGCAGGTAGAGATAGAGCAATATGCTTTGGGCTTCTCTTGCTGGTGGCTGGGGGACCGGGCATGGTAGCAGTGTCCTCTAGACAACCTTTGCAGTCTTATTGCTGCCTTGCCGATGGGAAAGGGACACAAAAAGACGCTTAATGGAGTTAAGTGGCAGAGCTGGGACTTTAACCAAGCTTGGCTCCCACACAGCTTGGTGGTGATGTTCAAAAACCCAGAAGAATGGGACCATTCGAAGAGGGACACACTGCCCTCGGGACAGTGCCAGCTGCTTCTCTAAGTATTTAAAACAAACTCAGCCAGCAGCAGCCTGCATTCTCTTTGTGTTTCTAAGCTGGGGATACCCACAATAGGGTTTAGAAAAATCAATGCCAGAAGGAAAATGGTCCTCCTCTCAATGCATCCTGAGTCCCCAAGTCACTCAAGATGCCACTCTTATGTCCACGCTCATCTCAGGAGCTTTTGTGGCCAGTGGGCTGGGGTCTGGAAGCAGCCCCTCCTGTTCGGCTGTTGGCTCGTCCAGTGTCAGAGCAGTGCACGTATGAGGGGGTGAGGGGGTGAGAAGCCGGGTCTGGAAGAGGGCACTGGAAGAGCCTGCCAACGGCATCAGTGGGCCGCAGGTTCAAGACCTGGGCAGGCTGCTCTGCTCCACGTTTGCCAGTCATGGCCACAGTTGGCATTGCCATGATGTAGCTCCTCCCCTGCGCCCAGCCCAGCCCCGTGCTCACCTGCGCAGTTTCTCAGTGACCTTGTCCAGCTCCTCCTGAGCGCGCCGCAGCTCAATCTCCAGGAAGTGGCGAGTGGAGTCAAACTCCGTCTCCAGCTTCTCCAGCTTGTGAGTGGTGTAGGACAGCCGCTTGCGCAGCTCGCCCTTCTGCTCCTGCAGGGCGCTGCAAGACAACAGGCAGCTTGGCCCTGCTGTGCCGCTGAGCACGGGGAAACTGAGGCTACACTGGCCAGCCAGGCATGCCGTGGGCACGCACTGTGCTCGCGACCCCACTAATACTTGAGTGTGCGCGCTCAGGCGTAGCCCTGCCCTCTCTGTGGCGGCCTTGCCGGCACTCATGTCCCTTTCGGAGGCGGCCTCAGGACTCTGCTGCCCGCTGTTCACACTCCATCCCATCTTAGCCCCAACACCTGAGAGTGTAACTTGTAGTAGACTTGCTGTAGGTAGGGAGCAAGAAGGAAGTTCAGGTGCCTGGCGGGCAGGAGGGGGGAGGAGCTGGGAGACCCAACTGCCCAGATGCACTGTGGGGCTTATGGTCTAGGCACCCCCTCCCTGACTCCAAAACCCAGTGAGGGGTGTGCAGGGCAGGCAGGCACCACCAGAAGTGTCCCCAACCCCGTGAGTAAGCTACACATGCCACAGGCACGCTCCCAGCCACCCCCATAACGCATTCCTGGATTCCTGCCCAGACCTGAGGAAAGGGGGCGGGTCCTCCTGAGAGTCAGTCCCCAAAAGAGAATCCAAAGTAGCAAGGGAAACCCAAAGGCAAGGCCTTGCTGCCCACACAGGCCCGGCTTGCCAGGTGTTCTGCCGCCTCACCCAGCTGTCTCTGTGCTGCTCTCCTCCAGGCAGCCTGCCCAGCTGCACCAGCCCACTCCAGGCAGCCGCTACTCAGGCCCTTCCTCCTTTGTGGGGTGGCAAGCTTCCAGCAGTACCCACTCCATGCAAAGCAGAGTCGCAGTGGGCAGCAGCCCTTGAGGTTGGGAAGCTATAGGAAGAGGCTGTGCCCTCCGGGAGAGGTGAGAGCATGGTCCATCTGCTATGGTGGCAGAAACCCCCAGTGACCAAGGAACACTACCACAGTGGGACCCGGTGCCATCAAAGAGCTCAGAGCCTCTAACGCTACCAGCAAGGGCTGTCAGATGCACAGCTGCTCCTCAGCAATCCTTCCCTCTTGGCCTCAGTCAGGAGCTGCAGCCCCACCCTGAGGCCCCACATGTTCTGAAAAGTTCCGTCCTCGTCTCCCACAGGGCTGCACAGTCCCTGGCTGCCCTGTGCCTCAGGCAGCCCCGAGTCCTGCAGGGCTGCCAGGTCCTCACCCTTACTTCTTGGTATCTCTGATTTATTTGGGGGGTTTCTCTTCCCACCCACAGGCCTGCATCCTCTATCTTAGCTTCAGGTATATTGTAGGGAGAAGCCACACCCGCCCTCTGGATCTATCAAGTGCCTGTCCTGTCCTGGGTCTGGTTTCTGGAAGGCTCTGCTCCTGGTATGCGTGACTTCTGGGTCCGAGGGGCAAGGAGGGGCAGGTGGCTCCTGTCTGCAGGGAGCCCACATTAGCTGATGCATGCGAGTCTGGGATCTGCGATACCAAGGGTCTCTTCATCCTCTGCTGGGACCCTGCCCATCCACCCCTGCCTGTGACTGTGGCTATAATGAAGGACACAGGTCTGCCTCAGCCCCTCTGGAGGACAGTACCACACATGTGCCTGCCGCAAGGTCATGGTGGGCGCGGAGCCTTTGTGGTCAGGCCTGACACATGAACTTGAGGGGCACATGTGCAGGCATGCTCGGAGCTGACCACTGAGGTGAGCCAGTAACACCCACTAGAGCTCCCCGGCTGGCCCAGAAACCAGGCTCTCAGAGAGGGCTGGAGGATGAGGCAGATGTGCCGAGGAGCCTCTCGATCCCATCCAAAAGACTGGCTGTACAGGCCATCACAGAAGAAGAGAAATGTTCATTTGTTATGCCTGGGTGGTGGAATGCTGGGTAATTGAAAAAGAAATGTATACTTTTCTGGATTTGTCATCTTTTCTACAGATAGAAAATCAGAAGAAAAAATTTACTTAGGATCAAATTTTGTCACTGTAAGCATCAGTGGTTGGTGGGTGGGAGTGGGGTGGGGTGGAGAGGGGGTGGGGGCGGGGAGGGGGTGTGGAGGGGCTGTAGAGGGTGGAAGGGTCTAGGCTGTCTCCCTTCCTGGTTTGGCCAAGGCCAGCAGTGACCACACTCTTCTCCTTGAAGCCCTAACCAACAAATTCCCACTTAATAGCCCCTTGCGGGGGGCCTCAGTTTGGAGGCCTCAGCACTAGATGAAGCTTGGGACCACTAGTGAAACTGGGGTGCAGGGAGGGGCTGGATGTACCTGGGCCGAGAGCGGATGCAAGGTCTGATTGTGGTCACTTACGGGATGTTCACGCACCATCGAATGTCTGTTTTTGTTCTGAGCCAGGTAAACACATGGAAACTGTCAGTGCAGCATTTGGTACAGACATGAGGGAAGCAGGCTCTGGGGAGGCTATACCACGGTTCGAAGATCACCAGGCAGGTCCCAGGGCTGAGATGCGGACTAACTCACTACCTTCTTGCGCCCCATTCAGGAGAGAAGACAGGCAGAAGAAAGCTGAGCCTGCTGGGGGATGGTGTGGGTTGTACCCGCACCCAGCAGGGCCAGTGATTGCCCTACCTTGATCACGAGTGCCCCGGGGGGCATATGAGCAGGTGATCCCTGACACTGGGTGCCTCTCAGGAAGAGACGGGGCGGGGCCCTGCCATGCACTGCTTCCTAGCCCGTTTCCTTCCCTCTAGGCATGGAAGCAATCCTTTCTCCATGGAGGGAATCTGTAGACACAAAACTGTCTTCCTCTCCCAGGAAATGCCTGGCAAATAAGCTCCGAGGGACCCCAGGGACCAGCAAGGGTCCCTGAGGGTAGAGAAAGCACAGGACACTGAGGGAACAGTAGGCATAGACCAGAGCCTTCCTCTCAAAACAAACAAGAAGGCTACTGTCACCACTCATCTTAGATGCAGATGATAACCACAGCACCTGTGCAGTCTAGAGGCTGCCTGTGCTGGCTCTAGCATACCCAGGCAAAAAGGAAGGTTCCAGACCCACCTGCGGACTCTGTGCACGTGTAGCTGAAGGCTCCCGAGCTAGCCAGGGCATCCGTTTCCTCTGCATCCTTCCTAATTCTTATCAGCCACTGCCCCCGCTCCTGCCCGCTGGGCTGTCCCTCGCACCGGGACATCTGTCCTCCCTCCCCTTTTTGGGATGCACGGTTTGACAGCTCTCCGGTCTCTGGGGCTACCTGTCTTGCCGGGGACTCTTATCTATGTTGGCCTGGTGACTGCCTGCTGCTCCATATGGTGATGAGGGATGGGGCTGGACTCTTGGTCACTGCTCCAGGGCCAGGGGAGGGCCGGGGGTCGGTCTGGTTCGGTGTCACTGGCATTCTGTGGGGCCCCGCGGAAGGCCTGCGCTCAGTCTGCCTTGCTCTCCAGCACAGCTCAGCCTGGCCCCGGCAGTCATGCTCCAACAACGCCAAATTGCTTGTCATTCTTCACATGCTGCAAGCACTTTCTCATTTTGGTGACTTTGTCCCCATGTCCCTTCTGCCAGCATCTTTCTCTGTCTACCCCAGGTTAACTCTTCCTCACCTGAAAAGAACTGCTCCCCTGAATGGTCAGGTTACCAGCCTGTCTACCTTTGAGTGAAAGGGTGCACAGATCTTTCAGCTCCAAGACCTTCTGGCAACTGGGTAGCTCATTTCTAAACCTAAGCAGACCACACCCTGCCCTGGCCTCTGTACCCAGTCTAAACGCCCAGATTCTCATTTCTTGGGTCACTACTCCCCTGGCCTCTGCTTGTTTGTCTTGGAGCCCCTGACTGCTCTCCTGCTTCCTCAGGGCCTGGGAGATTTCCCTCAGGAGGATCTCCACTTGCAGACCACCTCCTCTGGCAACCTGCTTAGTCTTAGTACTGAGTGGACGGTGTGGCGGTCTGGCTTGTCACCTGGCCACTAAAGCCTACAGGGCCACCTCAGGTATCAGCACCCAGCCAGGCTGGGAGGCACATGGCTGCCTGGTGCTGAAGGAGCCAGGCCAGGCATGACTACCGGGGGCTGAGTTCATCTTCTCAACCAACCTAGAATGCCACTCTTCAAAGCCACTGCCAAGGGCTATCTCTATCTACTAACACAGCCCCAGAGAACTAACCTGTCCTCTCCCAAGCCTCAAACTAGCTCCCTGGGGACCACATACCCAACGGTAGAAACATCAGCCTCGCTGTGGAGAGTGCGGGCCACCTCTGCTCCTATGGACCAGCCAGGGCAACTGACCCTCAGCACGTCAGCGGGGTATCTCCTGCCGGGGACACCCTCAGGGGCTCTGGCCTGTGCTGCATTATGCCCGTGGCTACGTTTCTGTCCATCTTCAGGGTCTGACGCACCTTGGTCACAGCCTGGATGATTCTATCCTTCATGCTTGCGACTGCCTTCCCCCAAGGGCAGGTGAGTCATGGAGCTCCTGCCCAGGTGTCCCCATCCATCTTTTTCATCGTCTTCTTAGATCTCCCCTCCCCCACCCCCACTTGCTAGCTGGGGAAACAGGTGCAGCATGGGTAAGGTCAAGCCTGTCCAGGTCACAGAACTTGGCCGGGCTCAGCTCTGTGCTGTCTTTATTACCCCGGTGGATGTTAATGTAAGCCTCAGCACTGTGTTGCCATCATGGTCACTAAGGTGTCACAAAGGGAACAGCCCCCGTGGAAAGGTCGTGCACGCCTCTGTGACGTCCTGTTGGGCATGCGCTAGGGGACAGGACTGTCATATGTGGTCCTGTGGCCACAGCAGGGGGCTGTCTGGAAGGGGGTTGCCTCTAAAAATCAGCTCCTCACCTCATCAGATAGCTGCAGTCCTGATCCACCCTCACCCCCCACCCCCTGCCAAGAGCTGAGAGCTGGGTCCCATGTCATGGAGAGGCCCCCGGGTGGGTAGAGTTAGGCGTCCAGGGCAGCTACAGAGCCCTAGGGCCTGGGTACACAGAGCCCCCCTGCCCCCAGGAATGCCCCCTTCTCTGTTCTTACACTCCTCCTCCATGCTTCCCTGTCACTCCATTCCCCCACCCCAAGGACAGGAGGTTGCCACCTGGCCTCAGCCCCTAAAGATG